AAAGAGATCAAGAAAGGAAAGAACAAAGAAAGAAGGCTGGATATTTAATTTATGCCAATAAAATCACTTACCACAAGCATCTGTTAGTAGCGAGTGAAAAGAAGAGAGAGAAATGCCACGTTGGAATGAAGATTCCTGTCTCTGGTGGTTATACTTTGGAAGGAAGGTGGATTACAATGTTTTGTAACCAGATTCAGTTAAATACAATTAAGAAAAGTGGCTGTTTGAAAGGAAAGCTCATTTACCTGCTGGGAGACTCTACGCTGCATCGATGGATCTACTACGTACCCAAAATTGTAAAAAATATGTATTTATTTTATAGATATTCTTTTAAAAATCCAGGTTGATTTTAAAATACTTTTAATGAGGTCTCTATTCTCTCATTTTGGCTATTTTGTTTTCAACTTTATTTAGCTTTCTAAATTTGAGCCTTTTAATTTAAAACATATTTTATTCTCTCTTTCATAAGAAATATTGCTCTTTTTAAATTCCAATGAAAACTTTACATTTTGATTGACATTTCACACATATGAATAGGTAGGTACTCTACCCTAGAGGGTAGAAATGTTCCAATAAGAAATAATCTAGGTGGGCGAGTATTTTAAATGACAGGATATTCACTTAAACAATATTAATCAGTGCTCACTTCAGCAGCACACATACTAAAACTGGAGTAATACAGAGAAGATTAGCGTGACCCCTATGCAAGGACAATGTGCAAATTCATGAAGCGTTCCATGTTTTTTAAAGTTTGAAATCACACATAATGAATACTGCCAAATAAATAGAGCATTTGATAATATAAAATGTTATCATTTATTTTTCTTTCCACTGTTTTAATTGTGTAATTATAGTTTAGCCAAATGCCTAAAAGATCCAGTTTTGATCACAGTAGTGCTAACTCTATCCATTAGCTTTTCCAAGAACTTGCCATTCCTGTGTCCATGTAAATTTGAGTTTATATAGTGAAAATGAGTATGATTATACTGTGAAATAGGTAGCCATGCTATGTTTATTGAGAAAAGAAATACCTACTTTGTTTTGGGAAAACATAACAAACCTTAGGGAGAGCAAAAAATAAAATAAAAAAATATTAATCATTGCCTTCTAGTTACAAGATTTTTTTTATAAGCACTAAAATTTTTTGATCTTCATGACACTGGAATTTTTAAGAAACTTTTGCTTCTGGATGCAGAAAGACATGTACAGATTCAATGAAAAAAACACATAGCTATCCATTTATCACTTACCAGCTCTACTCTGTGATAGGTGAGAATTATATCCTTTGGATAATTAACCAGATATCAAGTGATAAAGACACAGCCATCATCATCATCATTCTTGGCCAGCACTTCCGATCCTTCCCATTGACATTTTTATTCGCAGGGCCATTAGTATCCAAAAAGCTACTGAATGACTATTCCTAAGAAACCCAGCCACTAAAGTGATCCTTAAGACAGAAAACATCAGGGAGATGCACATAGATATGCAGAGGTTTGGAGACTTCCATGGTTATATTCAGTATCTTACCATGAAAGATATTTTCTAAGATCTCAAGGTGGGTGTCATTGATGCCTGGGACTTGACTGTTGCTTATGGCACCAATAGTGTCCACTCGCTTGATTATGTGATTGGAAATCAGATTAACCTGTTCTTCAACTACATTTGCTAAAGCCTGCATATACAAAATCCCTAGGTACCAATATCCACCAATAACTCAGCTTATATTGTTAGAGAATTTTGGCTTATTTTAGAGACTAAAAAAAATTGAATTGAAAAGAATCTGTCTGGGCAAGGAAAACACTTAAGAGCAAAGACAGTTAATACAGGATGCAAAGCCAAAAGAATCAGACATAAAGAATGATTATATCATGCCTAGCGCTTATCTATGAGTGTTAATAAATGTTCTTATTCTTTAAGCAAGTTTGGGCCATAATTTCTGTTACTTGTGGCTGAAAGCATCCCACCTGATACCATAGTGGGGTAAAAGAGAATAACATATGATTGTCATGATGGTCTGAAACAGGGGTCATCTAACTTTTTTTGTAAAGGGCTAAATATTAAATGTTTTAGGCTTTGCAGGCCATTTGTCTCTGTTACAACTGTTCAACTCTGCCATTGTATGTGAAATCAGCCATAGACAACATGTAAATGAATAAGTATGGTTATGTTCTAATAAAAATTTGTGGACACCGAAATTTGAATTTCATGTAGTTTTCACATATAAAGAAATATTCTTATTTTGATTTCCCTACCTCTTTTTAAAAATGCAAAAACATTCTCAGATGATGGGACCCCCCAAGAAAACCTGATGAACCATATTAGACCTCTAAGCCATAGTTTGCCAACAACTAGTTTAAAACAAAAAACTTGGTAGAATCGAAATACAAATTCACTGGCAGCTGAAAGAAAAATTAGTAAACTGGAATAGAATAAAATTCATATAACATGAGTAAATTTATCTACCAGAAAACTACAGCAAACATCACCTAATGTATAAAACATAACAAACATTTCTTACTAATATCAGGAAGAAAACATAAATGTCTGTCACTACTTCTATTCAACAGTGTACTGGCTGTACATGTCAGAAAGGAAAAGAAGTAACTGTACCTGGTTATTTTATCATTCTCTTAGGAAAAAACCAAGAGGCTAACTCTAAAAAATTTAAGTGACCTAACACAAGCTTAACATACAAAAGTTAGTTTCCCTAATAGCAATAAATAGACAATGTAATTAACACTGCATGGTATATCTGTATTGAGAGTATGTACATGTTCCATCATGTATAACAGAGCTTCTCAAAGAGTACTTCTCACACTATTGTAGTAAAGAGCCATTTTTAAAAATATATATATCTAAACTTTCAAGATCCCATGCATGAATAGTACACAGCTCGTGATACCTGACTCAGCAGAACTGATAGACCACAGTTCTATCAATGGTCAGATAGTGGTCTAAATAAATAGTAATAAATAGTTCTATAAATAGTAATAAATAGTTCTTGGACTGTTGAAGATGACATAAGAATATATTTTCATGACTTCAAGGTGGAATACATTTTCTTAAACTGAATTCTAAAGGCACTAAGCATAAGGAAACAAACTGGTATACCAGGTTTAATACATTAAAATCAGAAACTACTTATGAAAAGATACCACTAAGAGCGTGAAAAAATAAACCAAACACTGTGAAGACATTTATAATATATAGAATAAAGGACTCTATCTTTTCTCTTTGTCCAAACTGATAACTTAAAATCAAGATTAAATCAGACTATATACAAAATAAAACATTTTACATGTCCCCCCACAAAAAACAGAAGCCAAGTTAAAAGATAAATGATGGAGAAAAAAAAAAAACACTTGCAACTTATATTCTAGACAATAAACTAACAGACCTATTACATAAAGAGCTCTTAAAAATTAAAAAGAAAAAGTCCCAATAGAAAAATTAGCAAAAGATATGAGTAGGCAATTCAGCAGAAGAAATGAAAATGGTCCTTAACCACAGAAAAAGAAATACATATTTAAACTACACTGAGAGGCCATTTCACATCTATCAAGATGGCAAAAATTCAAAAGTTTAAAAACATACAATATTAACGAGGGTGTGGAGAAACAGATATTCTCCAGCACTGCTGATAGGAATTCAAAATAGTATATCCCTATGGAGGGAATTTGACAATATCTAGAAAATTTACATATATATTTACCTTTTGATCCAGCATTCTCAAAGACACCAGGAAAAATATGAAATGACTGCGCAGATTATTCATTGTAGCACTGTTTGTAATAGCAAAAGATTGGAAAACAAACCAAATGTATCAATAGATAACCAGTGAAATAAATTATGATCCATCCTCTCAAGAAAATACAATGTAGCCATAAAAAGGAATAAGAGGAACTTTCTGCAATGTGATGATCTAGTCTCCAGGATATATCATTAAAGAAGAAAAGCAGGTTGCATTATATAGTATACAACCTCTTAGGTAACGAAAAAAGAAGGCTATATATAAATATATACTTGCAACAACAAATATTTGCAACAACAAACCCTGGAATATAAATTTAAAAAAAATAAATAAAAAGTTATCGATAAAGGCATGTAGAATTCAGAGTAGAACGGGCAGAGATAAAAACATGAGGTTGAGGTTTCTGTACAAATAGCAAAAGAGAGGTATTCTATAGATGGAATAGGACTTTGGAATTCAGAAGTGAGGTCTGGAAGGAATATATTCAATTTGGAAATCATCAGTATATAGATGATGGCTAAAGTTGAGGAGATAATATTTTCTTCACACACAATTCAAAGACATCTTCAAGTACATCACAGTTTTTCATGCCTCTGTGCCTCTCTACATGTTCTTTCTGCCCCTCCTTCCGCCCATCAAAAACTCCTATTCACCATTCAAAACAATTTGTATTTCATTTCTTCTGTGATGCTTGCTCTGATTATCCCAGAAAGAATAATGTTTCCACAGTATTTTTATATTTGCTTTAAAATAGAAAAAAAATCATCTATTTTTAAAATATCATCTTTGATAGACTGTGAGCATCTTGAGGAAAGAGATCAGGTTTTTCTTTTTGTTTCCAAGGAAGATTTATATTAAAACATTTATGTGTCAAAGCTTCACAGTTTCTTAAGAAATTCTAGAATCTACTACCAGAAAAAGTGCTTAAGGAGTAAGAACCAAAGACAGGACAACATATGATGATGAAATGTACTTTATATTAAATATGAATTCATTGGGCTCCTTAAATTAACTCTTTTACCAACTTAGAAAAAAAAGGTTTTGTGTAAGGTATCTTCAGAAAAACATATTAATTTGAAAAATAGTTATCAAATTTAACATGTCATGTAGAAGACAAAATGTGTGTGGCTATGCTTCTCAAGATTGTTAGGTGATTCCTGTCACCTTGTCTACAGCCTTGGTCGCATTATACCTAGATGTTCTGGTTTTGTTCTTGGGGTTCTCTCTGACAGTTCTGGGTTTATACAAAAAAGAGATTCAGAAACCTCATCTCTATAATTAATATGCATCCCATTACTAATCGAAGAGTGGTTTATTTGCATGATAAAGAGATTGTAAAGACCATAACAATTAACCAGATAATTCCTTAAAATATGAATGTATAAATGTTGAAATTTTCATAACTTCAAGAACTTAGTTCTAGTTCTTTCACATTATTTCCAATATAAGTGAAAATTAACTTATATTTGACCTACAGTGGCTGAGGTAAGTAAATTTGCAAATCTGAGTTATAAAAAAATGTTACCATTAATTCAAAGCCCTCCCCTGGATGAGTAAATATATATTAAGGCATCATACAGAGCACAAGGGGATGGTCCCCAATACTCAATTCCTCTCAATCATATTTTCTCTCTCTCTCTCTCTCTCTCTCTCTCTTCTCTCTCTCTCTCTCTCTCTCTCTCTCTCTTTCTCCCTCACTCCTTCTCTCTCTCTCTCTCCCTCCCTCCCTCCCTATTTCCAACAATTAAGATTTTAATTTCAAAATACACCCATAAGATCTTTTTTTAAAAAATGGTTAAAATCCTACTTACAAAAACAAATTACCTTTATATGCAGTAAAAACATTCCTTCTTTGTTAAGGCTTATTTTTCAATCTTCACCTGAGGCTAGTAGCCAACAGCATCATCTTTAAAGCTAAGGGTTTTCTTCATTGGAATATTCCACATGTCTCTTGTCTATCTAGGTATGTTTTACAGCCTAAACATATAAACCTTAGAGCAAACTCCATTGTTGTAGGATTGAAGGTGCTGATCTAGTCCTAAGATTTTCCATCCCTCTCAGCAGATCCTGGAGAGGCAAGGCAGATGCTGCAGACAGAGCAGTCATTCTTGCCATGACTCCTGATCTCAAAGCCTCAGTCATATTGATTGCAGCACTTGGTAAAGGAAGGGGTGCCAATGAGAAGATGAATACCAAAGAGCTGAGAGCCACATTCAACCCGAAGATTTGTAACTGGAGTGTAGGAACGCTTGGGTTCTATCATTGTGTACTAACAGAGCCCTTCTTGCCTCATAGGAGAACCAAGGCCTTCAGGTACCTATATACCTTGTGAAACCCATCTCCCATATTCCTAAGGATCACTCCCTCATCCACTGTCTGTGCTTCCTTCTGGCCCTTGTGTGGCTATAGTAAAGAAGAGGACTAGCAGAGATAAAGCTGCAGCAGTAGAGCCACCAGTGATGCAGCTCGGACCTCTGCCAGGGCATGGTATTCAAAGGCTCCTCAGTGGCCCAGTATACTGCTTTGGTGCCAGCTCCTTGCCTGTCCAAAACTCCTCCCCACTTCTTGCTCCCCACCCCTGGTTTCTCTGTTCTCCTCTTTAAAGGTGCACTCTACAGAGACACAAAGCCATGACTCCAGCACCATCCTTGGAACCATTTTATTCATCCCGAGTTCCTGAAGCAGGGCCAGGCCCTTAGCAGCAGCCAATTGATATTTGCCAAATGAACGATGCTGCATCTCTATGCCTCTAGAACATGTCATAAAACAGAACGTAAGTGGTAGTATACATAGAAAAGGGACACAGCACATTTTAAAATTTAATCAACAAATTAATGAATCTTCTGAAAGCCAAGAGAAGGAAGAAACAAAATAAAACAGTAAGCACCATGATCATCTATGAAGAAGGGGGTAATAGG